TCTGGGGACAGTTGAGACCAATCTAGAAAGTGGCAGGAGGTAGCAGTGCTGTCGTTAGGTTCACATACCCTCTTCCAGATCTTGTACCTTTTAAATCTGCCCAGAGACCCAGCAGCTGACCTGCATCCTGCTGCCCTGTGACCTGCTGCAATTCCTTGTCCCCTCGTCCTCTGAGCACGTACTGCTGCATTTATCATTAAGAGTCCAGGAGTTCTTGGTGCAACCAGACTCTTCGAGCTTAATATGCAGTTTTACTTGGATTCTCCATGGAAACACCTGGTTCTAGAACTCACTGAAAGTTCAGCCCTGAGCTTCCACTTCCGGACTTAGCAACCCTAAGCTTGCACTTACTCGTGTCCTCCGTCCCTTCTAGATTCTCACCGATTGGTGCCTTACCATAGGCTACAGTCTACATGGTGAAACCCTGGCCCTTCTGTGTTTCATTCGGCTACCGGTGTCACAAGACCATTTCAATAGAATAATCATGTCTCCCTCCACTCCGTGGAAGCTGTAGGGAACAGCAGCTGTGCTCATGACAGTGAAAACAGTTTTTCTTTTGTCAGGCTCGACTCAGTTTCCTTACAACCCTCTGACTATGCGGATGCTCAGCAGTACGCCACCGACCCCGATCGCGTGTGCCCCGTCCTCCGTGAACCAAGCGGCTCCTCACCAGCAGAGCAGGATCTGGGAGCGAGAGCCTGCCCCGCTGCTCTCTGCACAGTACGAGACGCTGTCGGATAGCGATGACTGAACCGCGCCCAGAAGGGGTCTCGGTGGGGCCAGGGTGTGGGACAGGGAGCTCTCGTTCTTGGCGGTTTCATTTTTAATGGCAGGTCAAAAGCCTTTCGTCCTAGGACTTGTACCAGGGCACACCCTTAAGAGAGCCTGACGCATGATGAGAGAAATGATGAGTATTATTTGGAGAGTCAAATGGGGGGGGGAGGAGGCGAAGGGGGGACACCTTGCCTCCATTTCTGAGGAGCAGTTCGGTGGATTATAATAATAGTGGAGGGTTGAAATGTAGAGTTTTTAAAAAGTGACAATTCTTGTTCTTACATCTGTTTGTAAAGAAAACCATAATGTCTTTAAATCACTCTTCTGTAAATAGATTACCTTTTTTGCAGTGTTTCCCCTTGCTGTAGTATCTGGTGTACTTATGTTCAAATCAGCGCATCAACTCGGGGGGGTAATTTTAAAACAAAAAAACATCGCACCTATCTTTTTAACCCTTGCCTTCTCAACAACCTCATACAGCCCAGTTACATAATGTTGGCTGTCACGGGCATTGTACTTTTATCCAATTTTGTTTCCTCTAAATTCAGATTTCCAGCGATGTTTAAAATCTTGTGGAAATGTTTAGATTTTTAACACAGACCCTATATAAAATCTGTACATTACGTTTTTGGGTCAAAGGTAGGAGAAACAAAATTCTGCCATACTGTCAATTTCCAGTGCAGGCTTTAATTTTTTTTTTTTTTTTTTTTAATTAGTGGCACTGAAAAATATTACTGCATGGGTATGTTATAGTTCAGTTTTTAAAGTTTAAAAACAAAAGGCTTATTTGAGGCATACCTCACTGTTATGCACACTGGTAACTTAACCGTGGCCCTAAATATTCTTTTTCTCCTGCATTTGATGCAGCCCAACAGAGCTTTTGTTTCGAAATAAATTGGACTACCCTGTCCATAGCCACATAGATGATGTGTGATTTAAGGCTCTTGATGTCTCAGGTTTCAGAGGAGTGGGTTGCTCTGTATTATCGGTTGAGTTAGAAGGTAACGATCTGTACAGAATCTGACTCTTAGCTTTGCCTTGTGCTGTGTATCCCGAAGGCTCACTTCCCTTTCCCCATGTGCCAGTGCTAACTCTTACTCTCCCCGTGATTCCACGTGGGCAAGAGTTTACTGGTGAATCTTTCACCGAATCTCAAGGAGCAAATAATTATGAAGGGGTCAGTTTCACCCTTAATAATTGCTTATTGAACTGTGAGATTATTTTATTTTACGACTTAATAGTGCTGCAGCATCCTTCAGCGGCACGTGGATACTGTTTTGGAAGGATGCCACTGAAGATGAGAAAGGGGAGAGGCAGAGGTCTCTCGGGATGATACACGTGAGCACTTCATGGACTTCTAAGTAGATCTCAACTTTTTAACAAAAGTATGCAAGCCTCTACAGAAAGCAGGTGTATGGGAACCACTGACTGCCTCCTTTGTAACGAGATCCTCGCATCACCCTCAGCATTGGTGTCTGATCCCGATTTTAATAATGAGGACACAGGCTCAGTCCTTTGCCTACATGGTTAAGGCCTTCACTCTTGTTACTACTATCCTACTCTTGTCTTAGACCTGAAGTCCTCACAGTAAACTTGAGAGCAGGTTTAGTGATCAGATTCCTTCCACTTGGAAAGCTGGCACCACTTGATGATATACATAAAATTTTCACGTGCGTGAAAAACCGTAACTAAATGTTCTAATTGACATTTTTCTGCTGCTCGTAATGTCTGAGACTTTGTTAATAATCTGCTGTGTCAGCTGACCCAAAAGAGATGATTATTTTTCCATGACCCTGAAGGTCTTGAGCCATTCAAAGTCAGCACAGTCTTTGAGAGTAGCCAGCTCAGAGCCTAGCTTGTTACTGGCGCAGCTCTCCTTGAGGACCCGAGAGTGAGTGGTGCTCCCCCCTTGCCCCCTCCTCGCAGTGTGTATGTGTTTTCCTATGCCATCCGCCACCACCTGGAGTTCAGAACGGGAGAGAAAGTCCAGGACTGTTTCTTAGTTGAGAACAACGAGAGGACAGAACTCTCACGGGCTTACCTATGGAGCCAACCGTCTCGGAGGGAGGACGTCCACCTCAGCAGGACCGAAACGGCAGACAGCCCCGAGAGTGACCAAGGACTTGAAGTCGGCTGAAACCAAGGCATGACACTCTTTGCAGGCTGAGATTTCAGTGTTCCAAAGCTGCATCCTTCTGCATGATTTTTTTTTTTTTTAGCACCCCAGGATCTAAATTAAAGTCTTCCCAATACTGTTCATAGCAGCATTCTGACAGCCAGATCTCCAGCGCATGTTTATCATGGGAAGTAACTTGGGTGTGCGGGTTCCAGTTTTTAAATATTTATGCCCTGAAAACGCTGGTGACAGTTCAAAAATTTCAACTATGCTCTTTTTAACAATTTCCTTTTGAACTCAGACCAGTCGGCAAAGGGGTCGGCCTTCCTGCCCTGCTACCTTGTTTTACAACTGTGCAAATGAACTCTCATGGAGACACCCACAGGAAGAGACTGTCTCTCTGAAAACACCTATAGTTTTTCCAGCACCAGGACGGGACCGTGAGCGGAATCACTGTGGAGATTCAAAAATTCTTAAATAAAACCTGGAGTCACAATCCTTACTTTCAGTAACCCCTGCAATTGTGAAAAAGCAAAAACATTCTCCACGTAGGTGAGTAGTCCGCTAGTTGACGGTAATTTTTCAAAAATCACCAACCAATAAATTAAGACTGGGTCGCACTGAAACTCAATCTGATTTACATTCTAGTTTCTCATTAGACTCAATTAAAGGAGCTAGCTGGGTGGTAAGAGATGAGCTTAGAAAGCAGGAAGAAATTTACATCTGCAAAATAGAAAATTTGCGTCTTAGTCTAATCCTGGAGGATCTGGACCTCAGGATTTCTAGTATTTTGTTTTTCTTATTTAATAAGTTATTTTTTATGAGAAACTCAAAGATTACGGAATACATACAATGTTGTTGTAGAGTCTCTAGTTTATTATGAAAGGATTCTTCCAATAGTATGTACACAGAAACAAAAATATCTGTTTACCATTCCCACTCACACCCCCCACCCCCCAAAGGCTTACCAACAATAACAGTGCTCCTTCATGGCACCTACAAAAATTGCCTTTGCCCTAGGCCAGGGGCTCTTTGCAACACTTCTGAGGTAAAAACCTCCATCTACCTATCTTGTATGTATATACTTGATACGCTATGAGGCAGTGTGATAAGGCTGTTTGAACACAGTAGTAGTCTATTCATTTAGGGTCATCGGACAAAATACATTCTCCCATGGCTACGAGACAATCTCATTCGTTTCCTACTTACGGATGAGGATACTGAGACCCAAACTCGAGAAGCCAGGACTAAGATCCAGATCAGTGATCCTTCCACTGTATAAGCAGAACATATGAGAACTACTGGGGAGATTTTACATATTACACTTGTTAAGGCCCGACCCTGAGACAGAAGGTTTGGGGGTGCAGCCTGGGCACGTGCAGAGGACTCTGTTCAGGGACCTAGGCTGCAAAGGAAGCGGAGTCCTCAAACAGCACTGACAAGTGTTCATATCCTTCCTTTTCCCCCCTCTTTCATAGTTCTATAGAACCAGATATGAAGACATACAGTTTACTTTGATTTATAATTAAACGGGTGTATTTTCAAGGGCCTACTTCCTACTTTAAAACTTCATGCTGGGCGCTGGCACAAACCACGACAATGCTTTTGCTCCATTATGCATTAGGTTCCACACTGAGCTTCATGAAATAGATAAGAAAAATAACTCACCATAATCCCCCTTTGCCATGAGACAGTTCTGTTCTTCCAGATATTGATAAAATAAAAAAGAAGGTATAGCAAATCAATGGATCAAAATCGTAGGATAGAGATGCCTGGCTGAATCACCACACCCACCCCGAAGGCCAACTGGCCCATCTCCATCTACAGGTACACTTAGACCAGCACGACAGCACCACACCATACGTTACGACGGAAAGCATCACTTGACATCTGTCCTTAGAGGTCAACATCAGCCAGGGGTGAAAGTCGTCTTTCCTTTAAAGAACAAAAGCGGCAGTGCGTACAACTTGTCCTTCACCACAGCTAACTGACGAGACGTGAATATCAAGGAGAAAGGGTTTAAGCCATTGATTTGGGTGCCACTGAGACTAGAATAACCACTGTTACTTAAAATTCCCTACAACAAAAAGGGATTTAGCGCTTCATAAAATTAAGTGAAAGGTCTACTTTTTCTTGACAGCTCAGCCAGCTCTTCCCTGATGTGCTGTATAGAAACCTCATCTCTTTTCAGCTCTGCTTGCTTCAGTGCTTCCTGGTAGATCTCTTTTGCTTGTGCATATCGTTCTAAAATAACCCAGAGAGAAGGGAGAATAAAGAGAAATGTAGGTTTTCAAAGTGATTCTGAAAGATTCTGAGAGCAAGCACTAGCAACAGTTCAGGTCTAACTTGCTGTGTGCTCATTAAGTGACAGGCTGACCCTGCCTCCTTTCAGCCCCTGTGACACGCTGGCTCGCTCGGAGAGGCTGTGAGCCGACCTAGCTGTAGAGCGCCAGGGCAGCGAGGGCCAGGGGCCCTCCAGTGCCCTGGGGTCCCGACTCCATCAGCCGAGCACGCGGCTGATGGAAATTTTCTTTAGCTCCATGTGTTCGACGGGCTAGTGCAGGACGACACAAGTTACGTGAACTGAACCCAATGGTACTTCAACCAAACACACATCCTTTTTAGTACATTCAGCCAGCCTTTGAATCCCGGAGCTTCCTGACTGCCCCTCGCCCTCCCTACAACCGTCTCACAGCTGCAGAAATCCAGTGACCCCTTCCCTCAAGCAGGCCCGGCGGGCTTCCACTGCCCCCTACCTCTGTGCATCAGAATTGCAGCGAGATTACTGAGCAGCATGTGTAGCTCAGGATGTTCTATCTGTCTCGCCAGATCTGATGCCTTTTGCACATAAACACAGGCCTCATCAAAGCGGCCCTGTGCATCCAGGGTGGTAGCCAGGTCACTCATCAGCACGATGGTCTACACACAAGAGAAAAAACAGCCATTTTTTTAAAAAACAGCCACACGGATTTAACATTAATTTGGAGTCTGGTAAACTGTGGATATATGCTTAAGAGTTCACGTTTCCTAGCACGTTCCACAAACATGAAAGACATCAGCCTTTAACAAACTGATGTGTATGCGTATATATATATGTGTATATATATGTATGTATATATATATATATAAAACAAACACATATATCATTCACATTGTATGGGGGACGGCATCAGTTTGGCTCTCTGGAAAACAATACAAATCTACCAAGTAGGGAACAGGATATGACTTACTAATCTAATCATCAAACTAGAAGTACCAAGAAAAAATACTAAACGGCAAGATGAAGCTGTAACGATCTCCTGGTTCGGCAATCCTGAGAAGCCAGCCTCCAGGGCTTTATTTAACGTCATCCCTACTGGTGACTCTGAGACTCATCGAGAAGAACCACATATATTACTGATTTAGGAAGATTCCCACTAAGAGTTTTTAAAATTTTGGTACTAAGAGAAGCAGACCCTACCCCCTCCCCTCAGTTCTAGCACTTGGTGGTTTGAATTCCAAGTTTGTCTTCTTATTCCTCAGTAATATTCCATTAAAGGGACTCTAACCTAAATCCCTTTCCTGAAGAGAGTTCACAGCCCAACAAGTTGCCCTGCCCATCGACCTGAACCTTGGGACGTGTTCAGTCCAGTTAAAATGCCTGTGTCCTGTGCTGGGGGTACCAAGCATTCTGACAAGTGGTCCAGTTCTTCCTTCTAAGAATTTAATGAGAGACGAGAAAGACCAAAGTTCAACGTGTTCACTGTTCTAACAGCGCTGCACGGTTTGGTTTAATTCTATGTCTGTGGTTTTTACTTTGTAATGTAGTCCCTTTTTCCTTTCTGCCCCCCTCCCCCAACTTCCCCTGGCATTTTACCTATGCGGTGAGGGAGACAAGAATCTTCATGCATTAACCTGTTCCTCTTAATGATTCTTACTAATGTTCCTTATTACAAAATACTGTGCCATGTACCCTCAAGGCCTGGAAGCTCATGGGTGCCTGGTTAGACCCACCTTTTATAAAGGCTGCTCTGCTGGGTGAACCAAAATGCAGGCAGAATGCTCTGGAGAACCGATTAGAGGTCTCAGATCCTTTGTTTTGTTTCGTTTTGGTTTGTTTGAAGTAATCCCTACACCCAATGTGGGACTCAAACTCTCGACCTCAAGATGAAGAGTGGCGTGCACTACTGACTAAGCTGGCCAGGTGTCCCTCACCCCCTTTAGGAAACAAGCAGTTGGGGGCAGGCAGAGGAGGGAATACCTAGCACCTAGCAGCATCTGCTGCTGATCTGCTCCCAACGAGGGTGGCATTTCACACCCGGAAATTCTAAACCTTTGTTTTACAGTTACCCTCTCTGTTTTCCTCCCTTACCTGTGGGTGTCTTTCTCCTAGTATTTCTTCAGAAATCTGCAAAGCTTTTTCATACATCCTCTGTGCCTGTGCCGGCTGCTTGGAGAACAGAAGGTAGCGGGCATAGGTGTCTAAGCACATGCCAAGGAGGAGGTGGGTGTTGGCTTTCTCTTCCACTAAGAAGGAAATAAGAGCATTGCTAGCATAGAACGACAACATAGAAAGTGAGGCAGAGAACTGGCCGAGCTTCCTTAACATTTTGCTTGTTATCAAGGCCCACAAATATTTTCACAGTACCGGACCCCCTGAATGTTACACAAAGGTGACAATTTAGGTGGATTCTCATCTAAACTGGTCCCTAGACCCAATTTCAATGTGTGCAGGAAGGCGGGGAGGTCCCCCCACACCAAGAAGCAATTCTTAGACACCAGCAGGTGTGCAAGAATTCACTCATTTGTGTGTGCAGAGATAGCATCAGACTCCACAAGGGTTCAGTCCTCCTAGACTGCAGCCCCTTCCTCCGTCAGACACCAGTCATAGCCCTGTGCCTCTGACCTCCAGCTAGCGATGGGAGTGACCGCCATGACCCCCTCTAAGGACACCAACTGCAATTGCGGGTTGTGACCTGTGCTTCTCAACAGCTGGCTGTAAATCTGAGGGTCCTAAGAAACCCCTCCTTCGGTTACATTAATTTGCTAGAGCAGCCCACAGAACTCGGAAAAACATTTTACTTGCTAAATTACTGTTTATCATAAAAGGCTAGCACTCAGGAACAGCCAGATGGAAGGGATGCACAGCGCAAGGGATGTGGGAAGGGGCGGAGCTTATATGCCCCCTCCCAAAGCACCAACAGTCCTCACGCCTCCACGTGATCTTCAGCCCAGAATCTCTGTGAGCTCGGCCTTCTGGGTTTTTATGGACGCTCTATTACATAGATATGACTGACTGAATCATTGGCCATTGGCCACGGATTAAATTTACAGCCCCTCCCCCCTTCCACCAAGGTCAGGGATTGGGACTGAACTTCCAACCCTCTACCTTCACAACCACCTTTAGGTGTGTCCATTCACATAACAAAAGACACCTTTATCATTCTCAACACTTAAGAAATTCCAAGGGTTTGGGGAACTCTGGACAAACACCAAATAAAGATGTGAAGTATATTTTGGTCATGTGAATGAACAATTATATCTTAAAATCACAATACCACAATATCCATTTAAATGACGAACTTTGCCCCACATTTCAAGTAAGACCTTAAGTCCACATATCAAAGCATGGAGTATTATTTTTAGGTTGAAACTGTATTTAGTAGAAACAGGTAAAGATCAATTCCAAGAATGAGTTAACAAAGTACAGGGCAAATGAAAGAGTTTTCAGGTGCAAAAGTGGCAATGCAGTTAGGAACAGAAAACACTCAGAATCCCGAACTAGAAAGTCACAAGCCAAATTGAAAGAACAGTTCATCCACTTTCTGAAGAATAATAAAGGCTGCAATGATTATCAACTCTTGACAAATTACAGTACTGACTACACACTGTCTGAAAACGAACCGACTTCAAACATCTAATGCCACATGAACTGGAGAACACGGATCTCAAGAACAGGAACTTGCACGAGACCCAGAAAAGAGGATACAAATAATAGAGATGGTAATGATAAGGAAATTCTGCAAACAGCTCTGCTAAAAGTAAATGTTCACAGAAAGGGCTTAAAGAGAGAGTTTACCTCCGATAAACGTACGTAACCGAACCATTACACACTCAGCTGACGGTGGTCAACTGGGTTTATTCACCAGCAAATTCACGTGAAACCCCTTTCCTTCCCTATTGTCAAAGTTGCAGAAAACTTACAAATGGCATACAGAGTGTGAAGACGACGATGTAACCAAAGAGCGGGATGACCAATTATTGAAGAGAGAGTTTAAATAGGACAAAGTAGCTGGGGTGGATGAGAATAGCTGTTGACACACTATCAGAGGGTAAAAGTTAAGAAACGATGCAAAGCAGAAATCCAAAATTACTTACTTTGACTTAATTATATGCAAAAGGTATATAATCATGTTAAAATCAAACTCGAAGTACTTTTAAATAGGTCGCCTTACAAATATATTTTTAAAAACATTAAATGAAAGTTATTTTCCTAAATATCAAAGTATACGTAAATTTGTGGATAAATAAAACCAATATAAAAACGCAAACAGAAAATGTGCAGAGCCCGTATTTCTCCATTGGAAGGAATTACTGAAACAAAGTATCTAACTATGAGCACTCTTAAAAACGCTGAGCAAAACCTTATATAACCAAGCGGCAGTTTGACATCAACGGTTCTGTGAGATAAAATGAGAAAAGGTAGTTAAAAATGAGAATAATGAGACAAATCTCTGTGTTCTATCCAAGTACAAAGGTCCAAGACAAGAAATTTCTAACAGAAGATTCAGAACTAAAATACATGTTCTTTGAGAATATTTAAACACAGAAAATGTTTACCACATACCAAAAATATCACAAAACAATGTGTAATTATTCCAATTCTAGAAATCCTATGCGTGAAAAATGACTACTGACTCATATTTCTGGGATTTCTATTCTCTTTAACTAGAATGGAAGAAAACATAGTAAAGCATTTTCGAAATAATGAGATAAAATTGTAGCTATAATAATTTCTCACTGTTAAGAAAACACGCATTCGAATTCATATCGCACACTATGATATGAAAAATGAAAATATTTTTTGGAGAATCTACTTCTCTAAAAACAACACTAAGAGAAATAAAAGGCTCCATAATAAAACCTGTAGCATTACAGCCAAATAAAGAGAAATCATCATGGCCTTAATAACGTACAAAAAAGAAGAGCACCTGGATGGCTCAACTGGTAAAGCAGCTGACTTCGGCTCAGGTCATATCTCACGGTTTGGAAGTTCGAGCCCCACAGCGTGCTCTCTGCTGTCAGCATGGAGCCTGCTTCGGATCCTCTGTGCCCCTCTCTTCCCTCCCCCACTTGTGTTTGCTCTCTCTCTCTCAAAAATAAACAAACATTTAAAAAAATCACGTACAAAAAAAAGAGTTTCTTTTCTAAGCAGTAACAATATAGTTTCTGGGGACAGCTGGGAGGCTCAGTCATTTAGCCATCCGACTCTTGATCTCAGCTCAGGTCATGATCTCACAGTTATGAGATGGAGCCCCATGTTGGGCTTTGTGCTTGGCAGCGAGGAGCCTGCTTGGGATTCTCTCTCTCCTCTCTCTCTCCCCACTCATGCTCATGTGCACACTTTCAAAATAAACTTAAAAAATAATTTCTTGAAATATTAGTATAAAAACTGCTAGAAATTAGACAAGAACAAATCAGCCAATAATAGCTGAGAAATACACTGGGAATCTGAGAGGCAGGTCATATTTATGTCCTCAAATTTAAATAATTATTTTTCTCAGATTATTTCTAACCAGACAAAAAGACAAGCTACTTCAAATCAGTCCATGAAACAAATAAGATCCATCACAGAAATTTTTACTCAAAATATTAGCAAATGGCATTGTCAGCTGCACTAAGAAAACAACCAAGTAGCATTTATTCAGGCAAGGAGAATGGATCAGCATACTTAATGTATCAACATATCAAATTAGATGTGCATAAAAGCAGACTACAAAGCAATTCGATAAGATAGTGGTTCCAACAGAGGCTTTTGATTCCAGGAATAATGACTAATGATCTGAAAACCCTTTTGCTTCAAAAACGAGATAAAGGATATCCTTTTACATGCACAGCTGAGCTCCCAAAAGAAGGAAATCCCAAGGGTCAAACAAGAAGAGTAAACTAAAATCCAGAGTAGAAAGTATGGGACTTAACAACACAAAAGCCTAGTTTCTGTAGGTTTTGTGGAGCAGCCTGAGTGTCTCTGTAATCCAGAATTGAGTTCTTGGGGCGCCTTGATGGCTCGGTTGATTGAGCGTCTGAGTCTGGATTTCAGCTCAGGTCATGATCTCAGTTTGTTTTGGAGCCCACATTGGGATCTGTGCTGAGATTGCGGAACCTGCTTAGGATGCTCTCCCTCTCTGTCCCTACCCCACTTGTGTGCTCTCTCTCAAAAACCAACAAACAAACTTAAAAAAAAAACAAACAAAAAAAACGGGTGTCTGGGTGGCTCAGTCGGTTGAGTGTCCGACTTCGGCTCAGGTCATGATCTCACGGTTCCTGAGTCTGAACCCCACAACCCCACATCACATCAGTCTCGCTGTTGTCAGTGTGGAGCACGCTTCGGATCCTCTGTCCTCCTCACTCTCTCTGCCCCTCCCCCCCACTCGTGCACTTTCAAAAATAAACATTTTAAAAATAAAAATATTAAAAAAATAATAAAGGAACTGAGTTCTTCAGCTTTTGCAAATCAGAGAATTATATCTGAAGCCCCGTGCATAAAACCAGAATGACCCTTGTCGTAGGTTTTGTATGCCCCCCTCCCCCACACCCTCTCCCTACCAGGGACCACGAGGAAACTTGCATGGCCCAGCCTAGGATCTAGATGGAAAAAGGACTACCACAGAAATCTCCAATCATAGGCCTGTGCCACATGGAGCTTGGTGTCTACATTTATCTATTCATTTAGGCTTGGACCTGAGCGCCTGAAATAAAATCATTCTCATCTTATAGCTAAAACCCTGCTGAACATGAATTTATAATCCAAACGTAGTAAGCATGAAAATCCACCATAACTGAGATTCGGCACACAACAACAAAGGAGGCCTCACCCTCAATAATTTTAGATAATCAACAAATCCAACGACATAAACTAAGTGGGTTTAAAATAATTACTTATATGTCCAGTATGATCCTCCTCAGAGCCCTGAACTTGTGTCTATACTTTTCTTCCTTCAGAGACTGCCACTTGGCTTATTCCCTCCCATTCTTCAGGTTTCTTATCAATCAGACCTTTCCCAACCCTACGCAACAGCATACAGCCCCAACACATTCCCTGGACACACATTCCCTCACATACACATCTATGGAGCTCTCAATCGTCTTTGGATACATCAACCATTTACTGGATAGTGTTTTGTTTTGTTTTAGAGAGAGAGCATGGGTGCGGGAGAGAGGCAGGGGGAGAGAGAGGCCAAGCTGGCTTCACACTCAGCACAGAGCCCGATACAGGGCTCGATCCCACAACCCTGGGATCATGACCT